CACTTTTTTTTTGAAATTTTATATTCTTGAAATAGTTAGTAGTTTGAACTTGAAATTGAAATTTGAATGGATAAAAAAAAGAAACGGTTTAAGGGTTTGGAAAGATGAATATGGGATATAATGATAAAGACATGAAATTTGGGTCATGAATCAACGAAATAGGAAGAACATGACTTGAAAATGTGAAATGCTTGGTTCAAAATCCTAATTGATAATGCATTGATCTCTGATGATTTTAACCATGAAACACTAATAACTTGCCATCACCTGCCAACCCTGGTCTCGATTATAAAATCAATTATTGCCTAATTAAGATTAGGTCACCGACAGATGAACTTCACAATAACTGCATTTATTTCTGACTTGATACCTTGAATTTAATTACACACAAGCGAGAGCAACTTTTGAATTTTCCGAATAACAATTGGTGGATATATGCTCAAACGAAAAGTATATACAGGTAGGACAAATTTGGGGTATGACACTCAAAACGTTTAGATGAAACAATAGCTCAATAACTATGGTGTAAAACTTAGAGTTGTACCAATAAGATGTGACAACACTAACGCCATAAACCTCACAAAAACCAGGCCCTTCAATCTCAAGATAAACACATTGATGTTAGGCACCACTTTATTAGAGATTATATTTAAAAAGGGGAATGTTTTCTTGATTTAGTAAACTCATCTAATCAACTCGAATATATTTTTACTAAACCCCTTCCTAAAGAAAACTTCTTTTTCATAAAAACTAATTTATAAATGTTAAACCAATCATGCATGGACTAAAATTTCTATGTGTGACATATGTGTATATGTGTTTTGCATATCTTATTTCATAGTTTTATCTACCTTTTTATTTCGACAAAGGGGATAAGTATAATCTCTAATTAATTAAGGGGGTTTAATAACTCCAAACACATTTATGTTATTGCCTTTACCACCTCCTTGAGATATACAATGTCATCATAAAAAAAAGGAGAGAATTTGGATCTATGTGCTTGCATGTATAAAGTAGATCAGAAGATCCATATGAATCTTTGATGATGACAACAATGACTAAAGTCAATGGCAATAGATTTCAACTTTGACGATGGATTTATAAAGAAACATACCATGCCTCATCAACAAAAAAAGGCTCAAGATCAAAGTGCTTATATGACCAGAAGAAAACTGGCAAAGAATCTTGAAGCCTCAAACTAAGTGAGAAAACTCGTCACGTCATGACTCTTTGTCTGACTAAGTGATCAAAATATTGGAAAAGTAAGAAAGTAGCTTAGAAGTAGTAAAGAAACTCACCCCTACACACACACACACACAAATATTTTCTCAAATGTTTTTATCTTGAAAATTATTTTTTCCTAAACTAAGTTGAGCGATTAAAAAGTCATTCAATCATTTTCCAAACTATTTTTTAACTAACCAATTGATTAGAAAGTTGTATCAATTGATTGGTAAGAACTTTTTGAGCCAGCCATTCGATTAGACCATTAAGAAATCGTTTGGAGAAGAGCTAATCGATTAACCAATAAATTATGACAACACACATTAATGACCTACGACATCTCTATATATAATATTTTCTGATTGGGCTTGCTAATCAATTAAGAATCAGTTGGCCAATTGATTGTAGCTTTGTGCCAATTAATTTCCTCATTAAATTAGTCCATCGATCATTTCCTTTTTTCTTGTTTCCAACTCCTATATAAAAGAGGATCGTCTCCGCTTGTTCACACATCAATTTCCAACAATTTACATTTTCCTTGGAATTTTTCTCTCCCTCTCTCTTTAGAAAATATTACTTTCACTTTGAATTACCTTTGTGCTTGCAAGTGAAACTTTGCTTGTGAGGAAGAATTTTGTAAGTAGTCATGTTGTTTGATTAATTCTTGGGAGTGTAATACTCTTGAGAAAATTGAGTTTGGTTCATGAGATAACCTGTCATAAAATCTCTGGTTTGGCTTATTGAGCTCTGCCGGAAAAAATTCTATTTTGATTATTGAGATCAACCTGAAAATATCTAAAAAAAATTTAGCTTAGCATGTGGTAAAATTTATTTGTGGTTGGAGATAAGCATGTAAAAATCTCAAGATGAGTTTGTATTAAGGTTCATAGGCATAACCTATAAAAGCTCAAAGAGTTTATAGTCAAAATTTTAAGAAAACCTCTTCGGGGCAGGACTAAGCCAACGTTCGGCCAAACCTAGATAGCTCTCTGGAGCAATCTTTCCAACCCTTACTCTATTTATTTTTCTACCATTTACTTTTTATTTTATTTCTCCTATAATTTTCTCTTAAAAAACTACTAACACGATATTAATTGAGAAAAATATAAAATTAATCACGAACTTTAAATACCACAATTCAACATCCCCCCTCCCCATTGTCTCTTGTACTTGAAGTCATTTGTCCAACAAAAATGACGTGGAGAAAGATAGTCGAGAGTTTATACTCAAAAAACTAGTGTATTTTAAAATGAGGAGAAGCCTCATTTATATAGGATAAATATGGTTCAAAAAATGAAATAATTTATGGAGCTTTTAAGATCATATGTTAATCGATCAACCAAGCTAAAATAGAAAATTTTAAATTTTAACGTCACTTAATCGATTACCAACCTCTTTAATCAATTAGAAGGTGTTACAATGTGATTAATTGAATGTATGGATCTCTTAATTAATTAACCACCCAATGTACTTGGTTTTCCTAATTGATTAAATGAGTTTTTAATTAATTAAGCACTTTTCCGGATCTATTTTAAAATGTTTTCTCAAAATATACGAGTGTTTTGAAATAATTTTGTGTGTGTGCGCGCGCATTTTCTTAGTACCTTAAACACTTACTCTTGTTTCATTAACAATTAATTGATCAAAATACGATAAAACGCTAAACGCAAGACTAGACGATCTTTCACACTTTTACATTTTTAAGTTCACACCTTCAAGATCACAACTTCAAGACTTCAAGTTAATTTCCTTGATTCAACCTTGTCTAGCACTTTCAATTGGAACTTGATATATTTGACTGGTGAGGCTTGTGATGTCTCTTTCTTAATTGGGTGCCATCATCGGGAACTATTGAAAGAGAGGGAGTAATCAAAACCTATTGACAATTTTCATCAAAAGGACAATTTGAAAGTTGTCATCATCAAAACCAAAATTTTTTAAAATATTACCGACATAGAAATTAAGAATCAAATATTTATAAATCCAATTGCCTAGGTTGTGTAGGCCATCATTACTCGACCATAGACTCGCGCCTACTAGCAGTTGGTGTATCACCCATTGCCTAAGATCGACGCATGTAGGATGATCAAGAGTTCACATCATTTGCGTTATCCCTAGACAAACTAATCATGGCTAAGCATTTAATACCCCTCGTTCTCCCCACGCTCGACGCTTGAGGGACTCTCCCCCAAGCCTTACGTGAGGGACCCTCCCCCCAAACCTCGCTTGAGGGAATCGCTAGAGAATCGTAAATGGGCTCACCATTCTCTAGAGTTAATCACTTCGTTCTTATCAGGCCTCATATTTTAGGGATTTTGGATTGGGATAACTTTAATTAGACCATAAAAAAGAACAACCCCTTAGATTGATCGGCCCAATAAAGCCATAAAAGGACCATAAGGTGAAACGGGTGAGTTTATGGTTTGACCGCCCGAATAGAACTTGGGTCGCCCAATATGAACTTGGGTCGCCTAACCCCATTCCATTGTTAATCATCCACTCCCAAATGTGCCTATGAGGTATCTCTAAATGGATCGGTTTGGTTAAAACTAAAAGGAAGGAAATTTCTCCTTTAATCGAAGAAAAGAACGTGTCTATTACCCTTTCGTACTCTCTGGAGTTAAGGAAAGACTATTCCCCTATGATCCAGCTTGCAACTCGTCGCACCCTTTTGGTTGGAGGATTCACTCACTAATTCTCACAAATTAGCATATATCACCTCCTTGCCGTCGTTTTAAAGAAAAGGGTTATCTTCATTATAATCTTAGCAAATACATATATCACTAGAATGTTAATCTAAAACTTTGTTGGAATTTCATCACTTATGGTCCAAAGATTGGAAAATTCTTTGGAGGAATAGAGTTGTGAGATAGAAATATATTTTCTTATTATATTGCTTCATCCATTTGAAATAGTATCAAACTTATCATCCTATAATTTAGAAGAATGCTCAATGGATCATTGAAAAAGGTGATAATACAAATTTTTTTTGTTAGAACAATACTTAGAGAAACCTTTAGTCATTATCCTTAACATTGAGCAAGGCAAGCATCCTCAACATCACTTAAAAGTTTGTAATTTCATTCATAATTAACATTGTAGATTTCCTCAATTCATCTTACATATGTATCTTTCTATCACCCAAATGATGCAAGATCTATAAATAACATTTTGAAAGTTTGTAACAAACATTGGTCTGCACAATACAAAGATGTCACTATTCCAAATATATGATTGAAACAGCTTTGCTTAGCTGGGGTCTTGTGAATTGAGTTGTCACCAAAGCCTTTAGCACCCTCCCTCTCTCCTTCAACATCTATACCACTATCAATTTGACCTTATTTTTCCTTTTTCGAAAGTATTATGTCAGTCCATAATTATCTTGTATATAGAAAAAAGAAGAAAAGGATACACAACCTTTTACCATAAACATTATCAATAAAAATAATCATGTACATAGAATCATGAAAAGAAAAAGAAAAATAACCCTTGCGTGAACGTGACAATCATGAATTGCTATGCATACAAATAGGACCTTTTTGAAGCCTCTCTTATTCATATACCAAATATTTTACAATTTATATACAAAATTTACATTTAACTAATGTACGTCATTAGTATTTTGGTTGATATTTCATTTCATGCCCCTCAAAAAAACGATAAAAACGGAAAAAGTTGGTTAGGTGGAGGTTGGATGATAATCAGAAACTTTTGCTTCATTTTGTGATATCTCTCTCTCTCTCTTTCTCTTTCTGGTTGTGGAAGGAAAAGAGAAGATGGCGTATAGAAGAAGGCAAGGCGTATCAAGAGCTTCAACATTCAAAGAAGAAATCCATTCATCATTGGATGATGATCCTAAAGATTCTCATCAACAAAATGGTTCTACACCTTCCCTCTCTTCTTCTGATTCTTCTTCGCCTTCGCTCGCCGCTCAAGCCATTAAAGCCTCCGCTGCTCGTCGTCAGCCTGCTCTTTCATTTGCCTTTGATTCCTCTCATCCTGATCATCAACGATCCACGGTATTCGGTTCTCGATTTCTCTTTTGTTTATTTTGATATCAGGTGTTAAATTTATCAGACATTTGTTTATATTTTCGTAATGAAGATGAATAGACATATAGACAGACAGATAGATAGATAGATCGATCGATCTTAAATTGAATATAATGGTGTGAATGAATGCATTGATGTAGAGTTTTGATGCTTATGGGAATGACAACAACAAGACTGGTTTCTGGGGTGTTTTGGCTCATAAAGCCAAATCAATTCTGGATGAAAACAATTCAGATCTACAACAACATGACACCAAGCTACAAGGACTCAAATCGCATTCATTTAATACATTTTCTAGCCCTTTTTCAACTCAGGTGATTGATTGATTACCTTATGTAATACGATTCTTGTTCGTTTTATGATATAATGCTGCATAAATATATGTTTGTCATTTGCATTATTAGTTGAATATGAATCAACTTATTTGTGAGTTTTTGGTTTGGCATGGTTATTGAAGCCATTAAATCAACCTCCTGAATCTAATAAGAGAATGGACAATGCTTCGATTCGGAAGGGATTGGATGCAATCACTATTTCCCTCAATAATCTAGGTGACACCTTTGAGAAAGCTTATGAGGTAACTCTCTATTTATCTATCTCTATCTCTTGATGAGCCTATCTGAATTTCATGTGTTTGATAGTGCGCATCGATTTCCTCAGGATGGAAAAACAATTGTGGAGAGTAAGACAGCTGACCTGAGATCTCAAATCAGGCGAAAAGGTGACGGCACAAGCCAAGCTTCAAGTATAAGGAATCCGTGGCAGCAATCAGATCAGACACAGTCTAATTCTCCCCGTGAATCTCAACTCAAGGCATCACGCGACGTAAGGTGCCAACTTTGTAATCATGTGTAACGGTTGCAGCCTCGTTAGTTCTCGTAGTGAAGCCGTAGATGATATAGAAGTATAGAACATCTTATAATGATTTTAGAATTGTTAATAGATTTTAACTTAGTAGAATCTGTTATTTGTCCCTCTCATGTGATTAGTTTAAATTTAGTTCACATATGAAACATACATATTGTACTATCCAAGTTCTGTCAGGTTTAGAGAGAAACAAACATTAATATAGTTGCTCTACATGTAAAATTTCACCTCAAAAAACTATAGCTTATGTAACCAAACAAGCTACGTTTCATTTTGCTTTGATTTCAGGTCGCGTTGGCAACAGCAGCAAAAGCGAAATTACTTCTTCGTGAGCTAAAAACCGTTAAAGCGGATTTAGCATTTGCCAAAGCGCGTTGTGCTCAACTTGAAGAAGAAAATAAATTACTCAGGGAGCGAGAAGGAAGCGACAAGGGACTTATCCGTGATGATGATGATCTGGTATTGATTAGTTTGTTGTTTACCTATGTGAAATTTATATTTAGAAGCAAAATAAATTTGAATGTGCCATATTATTATTTGATCTCTTTAGATTCGGCTTCAAATGGAGACACTTTTAGCTGAAAAGTCTCGTTTGGCTAATGAGAATGAGACATATTCAAGGGAAAACCGTTTCTTGAGGGAGATTGTGGAGTATCACCAGCTGACAATGCAGGATGTGGTGCAACTTGATGAGGGAATGGAAGACGTCGCAGAACTTTATCCATCGGCTGTGAATGGAATCACTAGGTTGTTATCTGGCTCACCACAGTCGTTATCACCTACACCGACATCGCCTGATGAGGTTTCTCTAGGATCAACAAAAGTAATGTTTCCTGTGCCAGAAGTAGATGATGATGAGAATACATCAGAAGAAAATGAGACTCCTACTAGTGTCTCGGCTTCTCAAAATGCAGCAAAATGATCACACTTTTTGTTTATAGGGTTATAGTCTTAGATGAGATTCTCTTGTTTTGAGGAATATATGCATGTTTTGTAACATATATTCAATTCATTTATTATACCTGATTGTAATGTGAAGACTGAGGACTAAGACCATGGAAGTATTTGATACTCATGTTGTTTTGTGTGTAACTTTCCTGTCACTGTGAGGTTGTTTTTCATGTGTATTGGCTGATCAAATTTTGTTGAACGGCCTATTACAAATATTAGAGGTTTTATTAACATTTCAAATGTATTCAAATGATAACAGGATCAGGTGTATTATGCTTGTGTAAAATGCTCCATCAAAGGAATGAAACAAGGCATAAATTAAGTTAAATTAAGTTATGAATCACCTCAAAACTCTATAATTTTACATTGCTCGGAAGACCATAAAGCCTTCTCAGGTATCTGCTTATGAAGGATGTGATTCAGTGAAGCTAATCACTTTCTTTAATGGATGAAGAAAAAATTTGAAGAGAACATTTATGCCAAATTTCAAATCAATTCATTACTTCACAAGGGAAAAAAAAGACAAACTTATGCGATACGCCAATGCATTTATGACAAACATTAAATCACATTTACAATTCTTTTTCTCATACATATAGGTTGTAAATACTGTACTGTTTTTTTCTTCAAGAATTAATTTTAAGAAGTTAAAATTTATAGCTTTTAAATTCAACTATAATCGATACAAAAATATATTATTCACCTCTTTTATATCAATATATCTTAATATAAATCATTTTTCATTCAACCCACACAGAATTTTGTATAATTCATTCATTTAAAAACAATTTTTGTCAACACAATATCAAACACTGCTGATTAAATCAAATCAGACAAATTTAATGGCAAATCTGCCATCACTTTTAATGGCCATATTGATCCAAGTGGAAGGTTGAGAAGTCGTTCATGTGTGACTCTATTGTGCCTTTATGAGAAATCTAAGCATCAAGAATGTATACACTCCAGGCCCACGAGATTCCCACAAATAAAAATGGTATAACAGATTTATTAAATTTACTGAAATGTGAGATTTTTATAACCTGCCAGTGGAGCAAACAACTTTGTCTCGCAAACCACATTCAAAAAAAAAAACAATTAAATTTGCTAATTTCATTCACAATATATGACAGAAAGAAGTGGAGAGAAATCGACCTTCATTCCTTTTAAATGAAGCCCCACGTTTAATTATACATTCAATAAACTTCCTAGTTACAGGGTCATATAATACACTTAACCTCTTACAAGTACATTATATGAATAATAGGTGACAAGTTAAATCCTATTAGCTGCATTCATCTTCTCAGAGTGTCTCCAAAATGCCTCCAGTGAATTTTACATGTGTTGATGTATATTGATCAGGACTGCTGTTTTAAAAATAAAGCTTCAAAACAGAAAAAACTTCCTGGCTTGTATCATGAGTTTAGAATAACTGGAAAAACAAACTTGTAGAGCCATCACCAAATGACCTGAGGTCTGCAGGTTTTACCAAAGCCCTGCACAATGGGCAGGTCCTTTCCCTCTCAAACCTGGCAAATAAGATGATCAGGAGTCAAAAATATCAAATGTTTTTAACAGCTGTAATTTTATATTTATTAATTCAGTTAAGTTTTGAAACATATCTTTTTAACTTGATTTTTCAGGTTTTGTAAACTACCCAGGCAGTACTTTGCTAGTTTGTTTTATAAGCACAGTACTTGCTAGTTTAACGGAAACGTAAATTAAAATTGTATATTCTTATGCAGACCATTACACAAAATAACAGCAAAGCAAATCTCACCACTCTGATACACAATCTTCGCAGAAAATGTGTTTACAGCGAAGTAAGATTGGGGCATGCATCTTCTCTTGACAAATGGCACAAAGATCACCGGCTGCAACAACCTGCCATTAGACAAACTACTTGCATGAACAACTTGCTGCTCCCATATTGCATATAGAATGACAGAAAAAGTGTGATATGCGTCTAAACATTAGAACTCATAATGAACTGGATGCAGTGAAACTTTAAAAGCAATAGTGTTAATTTCTACTTAAGTCTTATCTCAACCCTACAGTCATAGGACAAAATCAAAACATTCCTCTGCTCATTTGAAAATTATGACGATGTTTAAATATTTGATTGATATGCTGGTAAAAATGGCATCTTAATAATAGGTCAAATCAATGAACAATGAACAGACTGGTTTAAAAAATCTTCCAGAACCAAACTTAATAAGGCGTCATATTGCTTCTGTTGTAGGCTTATAATGCTCAATAAGTGTTTCTTAAATCCAGATTTGAAACACCCGCGACAAAGCAAATAATAATAATTCATTGTATAATATGATGGCACCATTTCTCTTTTCTTTTTAAATACCACCCATAATAGTAGGTTTATTCTAAAGTGAACAAGTGGCTCAAGTGTTCCACTCCATTGTGCACAATTTATTTATTTATTGAATATTTGGGTTGAGCAGAAACACAGGTCTTATCACAGAGCTCTGCACATGATTATCCCATCTGCCGGCCATTACTAACTTCTATTTTTCGACTTTGACGGGTTGGTATCACTTTCCCCTACTGAGCCATCTCCGGAGCACCTCAACTGCCCCTTCCTCCACTCATAGATTCTGATTAAAGTCAAAATATAAACTTATAAGGGGTTTTCTTTATCTATCCCAGATAAAAGCCCATCAAATTAATAGTGAAGCCATTTGGGAAAAATAGTTGTTCATGACTCAGCAACTATTATGCACAGATTTAATTTGGTGTTTCAATCTAATTGGACGGATATGCAGTTTTCTGCCATGTAGGAGTCAGGCTTATTATGGCAGTGGAATGAAGATGTTTAATTTTAGCGATGGGACGATTGAAGGCGGCAACGCAACCACGTGGGGGACACATCCACGACGGTGCTGCTAGTCTAAGGGCAGTTGAAGGTGGGAATGCAAAGAAAGATGCAAATTATTGAGAGAAATACTGTCATTTTCATGACTAACTGAGAGGACTTAGTGACACAGCAGCTCAGATGGAGGTTCAACATCCACAAGCTGAGCAAGCTATTGGAAAGGACGGGAAGGGATATAGTATGGGAAGTCCGCTATTAGATCCAATAGAACTAACTACCTGATTTAACAATAGATAAGAGTGGTGCAGGGTGCACCACTTACCGCACTCGTGCACGTTAGACACAGCCATAAAAGTAACTAAAAGCTACAGATGTTGGAAAATAGATTAGAAATTTTATCAAGTATAGCGTAAAATATAAATGGTGGGCTGGTGCCTCTGTTGCTGGTTTGGAATGACAATTTCCGTTTCACGATTCAGTTGTAGTTATTAATTAACTAAAAAACACTAGAGTTTCTAAAATAGTACATACTAGAGAAAAGTTAACTGAACTCACTCTCGATAACAGAATAGACAACCACCAAACCAAATTGGGAAAAAACACAACAGGACAGCAACTCAAATATTAGCAAATTGTCATATAACAACTAAAAAAGGTAATTTGCAATGATAATGGATAAACATTGAAATTTTAACAGTTGATTGGCCAACAGCAAAATCAAATGAAGGCATCCATAGTACCTGCTCTGATGTTGCATGAGCCCCATAGTGTACTTCTTTACGTGACAATGCCTTCACTGCAGCAAAGAAAGATTGCACCTGAAAAGTGAAAACAACTGAACAGTTAAGAGAAGAACCACCAGATGACAACACATGTCATACACATACAGTACCTCAATTATATATTTAAAAAATTAGTTTATTATGCATATAAAAATTTAAAGGACACTTCATTGTAACCCGTCTGAAGACTTCATAGTTTGAATCATTACCACAAATGATTAAACAATGAGTAAATTAACATGTCCATGAGGGGTCATATCAATGAGATTTCTTTACATCATATAGACAAAAGTGTAGCAAATCTTAATGTCTGATGAGAGGGGAGAGTAATTTTATTCACACAAAAAAGTTAGTAACTTCCAAACATTTTCTTACTAAAGATGAATGTATTTTTGACAAAGGCCTATTTCTACAAATGAATTATATTTTCTGCTTGAACCATCCGGAAAGGAAAAAAAAAACAGAACTAATATTACATGGTTTAGTTTAACAAACAAAGAAAACTAGTAAAGAAAAATAAAGGTTTAAATAGTGGAAGTATGCACAACCTGAATTTAGATGGATACTCTTCACATGCTACTCATACAATCATGAATTTTGAAAGAATATCTCACCTTTTCAACCACAGATGTCAGCTTAAATGTTAGATACAATCCTGTCATCAGTGATGAAAAGAGGCTTCCATATTCTTTGTTCAGGAAGAAACGATACCAAACTGGTGTTGGCAATAAAGCTCGGTAAAGCAGGAGGAGGTATTCAACTAAAGTCAGCATTTGCCCCTGATAAATAAATGATGGTACAATCAGAAATATAATGTGCAAGATACAGATCCTGAACTCATCAAAACTTTTGGGCATCTTATAAGAAATAGCAGAGGTGTAGGTAATAATATAACTCAAAGAAGAAGAAGAAAAAAACGCCTTCAGATACTCTCCTATTCCCAAAACATTATTAAACACTTGCACTAAATTTCCCTAGTGCTTCATAAAGTATTACCTCACCTGCTTACGATAATTGCGGCCTCTGCTATTCTTGTAATACATTAACAATATACACTTGAATATCATTGCAGCCTGGCGAGCCAAAGTATCTGAAATTTCAAAACAAAATTTGTAAATCAATGGAATTAATTATCCACTCATTGAACTTCAAACAGAGAATAAATAATTCCATAATGAGCAGCATGCAAGAGTTTCCATCACTGTAGTAGCTTCAATATGTGAAACACCAAGGAGCGTTACTAGAAGAAAAAAAAATCATTCAGAAACAAGTATCAATTGAGTACGCATGAAGAAAAAATCCAATGGCAACATAATAGAAGTACAAACCTCTGCATTTATTAGAGGAAATTATAAGGAAAATTCAGAGTGAACTACAATACAATTGCACTTTCGGATAAACTTAACAGCAGGTTAGTTGTCAGTTGAAAGGAAAAAGTAATTAACCGGAGATTACTAGAACGAAACACAAGCATGAAATGCAGTTAGAAACATGGCCAGTAATTAGGATGGAGAAACACACCATTCACCATGATGATGAAAATAGCATGCCAGAAAGGTGGTATTTCTTTGGGAGGAAGCATGACTAACGGATACAGTAGATCATCATTCTGATACCACCAATAAACACCAACCACATGAAGTGCAAACGCAACAGAAATTCCAATCAAAACAGGCATTTTCCTCTCTCCCTGCAGCCACCAAAGTAAAATAAAAAAATGTATCAAACAGCATGATATTTGCATACATTAACAACACTTTTTCCACATCTCGTGGACAAATAACACATAAGCACAAAGTCTCACCTTCAAAGCCGTTTGTTTTCGCAGAATGTCATTTGACTTGAAAAGAACAGCAGCAATCCAAATGGTAACAAAAAACCCTGCAACCATATAAAAATCACCAAACTAAAAGGTAAAAATCCAAGTTTCAATAACAAAAAGTACAAACACAAATTGATGATGACAGTAGTAAACAAAAGTAGTGAATTGAGAATGAACCTTGTAAATGTTGGCGAATGAAAACCACCAAAAGAAGCAAAGAAAAGGGCAAGACTTGTTCGATCCACCTAGCAGCATGCTGAATATCATATCTCTGGTAAGAAGAATCTCTTCCATTAGCACCAACGCCATCCCCACCACCACTACCTGCTTCTGCATCAACATTTCCACTCCCGGACCTCGAAACACCCTCAACATCGCCATGTGAAGGGGTAGACGTCATCCCAGCCGCAGCAGCAGAACCATCGTTCACGTTGACCACCAGTGGCGAAACCTCCTCTTCCCTGTGATTATCTTGCTCAGTGGCACCGATGATCCTAATTGAAACCTCACCTTCATTGGGGACAGAATCGGGGTTAGGTTGGTGCTGGTTCGACCTAGGGGGAAGAATACCAGAATATTCCAGAAGCGCTGATAACGGTGCTTGAATTATGCTGGCTGCTGACGGGAATCCGTATCTTCTCGAACTCATCGATGAAGAAGATGCTGACGATGATCCGGCAACCGGAGAGCCTCTGAACATGTCCCCACTCCCTTCCATTGACGTCAAATCCCTAACCCTAACTCTTATTCATAAAAAACTGAGAGTCGGAAAATAGCGTTGACGTTGACGACGACGCTGATGATGGAATGAATGGGGAAGATGATCGAAGATATAGAGACCTGTGAAGAGGATTCTCTGAGAAGAAGTAGAATCTGAGGAAAAAAGGGGTTAGGGTTTTGGGTTTGAAAGGGTGAAGAATGATGATAAAAGAAATTAGGGGTTGAAATTGAGGGTTATGAAGATTGGAGTAATGGATAATTGGTGAAAGGGGTTTGTGATCGATTTTCTGTGTTTCTCGCAGACTCGCTCGCTCGCTCTCTGGTGGTGTGGTGTGGGGAGAATGGCGCCAGAGAGAGGAGAGAGGAGAGAGGAGAGAGAAAGAGAGCTACGGGACAAAGCGCGAGAGATGAAAGAAAAGAGAAGCAACCATTTCGGATACTATACTTGCTTTGTTTTCTCATCCCCGATTCATATTTTTTTCCCAATTCATTTTTTACATCATGCATGTATAATGTGATCACATACATGTACATTACATGGACATAAAAATAAAAATAAAAATGGTAATTGATCTATGTGTTGTAAAATATATTGTTTTACAACTATATAATTCAAATATTGTTTATACAATAAGCATACGTGTATTTGATTGTTACATTTAAAAGAAGAAGAAAATGGTTATGAAACAATTGTGAAATTCAATTCAGTTAGGATGGTTAGAGAGCACATGAAGGATATCATGATAGAATTTATTATGGATTAGGTTTGTGGCTGACCTATTATTGAGCACAATTCAATCCAGTTCTACGTTGAGGACGGCACAAAATGATGACCCAATACGTTGGGACCAGTAGAGAACACGGTTCTCACGTGCTCCTCACTCTAGGACACATCACCAACTTGACCCGCACACCTCGCGGAACCATTCTGCACTTTGTAACGGACAAATACATCCACTACTCGGGGAGTGTGGAACGGTTTAACTCAAGACGATGAGCACGAGCTGCTCATTCCTACTTTCACGTAGGAATCCAGACAGTCATCTATGGTGGGCTTGAACACTCAGCTCATAATGAAGACCATTGGCCAAACGCTGGGGGTTCACTATTAAAACCCTCCTCTATATGAGGGTCATGTATTATATTCTTTACCCTTTCTTACTCACCTCTTCACCCAAACTGACTTAAGCACCGGAGTGTCTGCAAGTACACCCCATTTTCGTTGACCGTTCAAGACCGCTGACGCGTTACTGGTGACTCATCTACTCTGTTGACAGGTTAGATCAGTGGTGTCGTCTGTGGGAAAACGGTTTCCCCATCTTTTCTTTCCCTGAAACCAAAAGATCAAAACAAAAAACCTCATAAATTAATCATGGTCGGTTAACACGACGACAACAACGGCAGTCACGAAATCGTCCTCTCTCCCGTCCATGACGCTGACAATGTATGCTAATTTTAGAGGAAAGCACTCCACCGAGGAGAGACGGACGCACCGCCTCCCCCTCCTCTGACAACGTGATCGACCATGGCGTCCAATACGTCGAAACTCGCAGAGTCTATAAAGCTCCAGAGAAGACGCCGAAAACATTTCAACCGATTCTGGTACCACATAACATTGACCCAACCATGGTGGCCATATTCATGGCGCTGAACCAGACCATCGCGTTGATCTACCAGCTGAATGAGAGGATTAGAGCATTGGAGAAGGACTGTCGTTCACGCTCTCCCCTGCAGAGACACTGACAATATGAATCACGGAGCTCGTCACCGTGACGACCAGGCCGCCGCCCACAGTTGAAGAGGCCACAACCCTTGAAGCACAATCATATTCCTCCCCGCGAGGATCGACGCTCCCCGATTTCCAAGAAAAGCAAATCCAACTGACGACTGGATAATCGTCGTTCGCCTCCACACAAACTGAAGGACCGACCAAAGGACTCACCATCACACCGTGATGACAGTCCTCAGCGAGAGAAATACGACTATTCTCCACCGTGCTCACCGATTTGGAGTAATGAAGACGACCCCGGCGGTTCATTATCTCGAGAAATCATGAACGTCCCCCCTTCCCGTTGGGCTAGAGAAACCACCGGACCTGGGAACATAGGATGGAACAACAGATCCTAACGAACACATCGAAAACATCGATGCTCTGCTTGATTATCGCGGTGTCAGAGATGCCATCAAATGTTGGTTGTTCCCTACCACTATGAGAAAACGTGCCATAACCTGGTACAAGAGCCTCACTGGCAAATCCATCATTTCCTAGAGACTTGGGAAGCAGTTTTCAAGGCACTCTACTGCTTCTCATTGCCATCCAAATTCAGAGGCGACGCTCGAAGCAATCATGCAGGGGAAAGATGAATCCCTCAGACATTGAGAGATTCAATCGGGAAGTTGTTCAGGTCTCCATGACCGACGACATGAAGAAGTATTTGCTTGAGCGGGGATTGCAACCCCGCGATGACTTCACCAAGACCGTCGATATTGAAACGCATGCATCGCTGGATGCCCTCCTCCTCAAGGATCAACCCTATATTCAGTACGAAGAGAAAGAAGCTACCAACAACGCTCGAGACTCACGGCACCAGGAAAACACCAGATTTTCGAGGCACGATGACCACCTGGCACCTCACCGAGGAGGAGAGAAGAGGAAAGAGGATAAGCCTTATGAGTCTCAGGAGTACAAAGGACCTGGTGGTCGTTTTTCTGAATACACACTGCTGACCTCTTCTCGCGATCGTATTTTATCCGAGTTCTTAAACTCATAATTTTATCAGGCTGGAGTTCATTTTCTCAGACAAACACCTCTTAAGCCTACCGCAGACAAGACCAAGTATTGTCACTTCCATAAGAGCCACGGACACTTTACTGAAGAGTGCATCCACCTTAAGGATACGATTGAAATCCTCATCAGGGATGGGCACCTGAAGCAGTACACCAAGAGAAGAGAGACTCATAGGCAAAACGCCTGAGAAGCGAAGAAGGTCGAGGAGGAAAAGTCACCCTCTAACGACACCTCCAACCTGTATATCGCCATATCCATTATGAAGTCAAGCTTCTCTATGATGAATATGTTTTGATGAAGACAAGACTTTTAGTGATAAGAAGGCAAAGATTATCAAGTTCAAGATAAAAAGCATCATGTTCAAATACTTTGGACTCATAGATTCATATGTCAAGAAGGTATAATAACGATAATGACCATAACTAAAATCTTAGATGCTCATATGTTCAAGCACTCTTGCATAAATCATGTTTTCTCATGGCATAATTCTCTTAGGCAGAATTTCAATTTTTGTCTTGTGCAAATCGATTTGCATTCTATGTAAATAAATTTGTACCTGTAGCTTGCCTAACTTAACTTAGAAAAATTTCACATTTTCACTATATAAACCGAATTGCATTTCTTGTAAATCAATTGCATACTATATCTTTTCAAAATTTTATAACGTTGCTTGATGCAAATCGATTTACACCTGAACGAAAATGAAAAACAGTAACTTTTTTATAGACACCTCTTCATGAATTTCTTGTAAAACCTTTTCAATTCATCTTGGCATTTGTTCATGATAATTTTGATGAATTTCACATTGTTTCATAAATGAGTCATACTCATATAAGTACATACATTTTCATATTTCAAAATCACATATTCCATTGAAATTCATAATTTTTCAAAAGTCACAATTTAAGTCTTCAACTTTTATACAAGAAATTTTTTGCACACTTTCACTTCATCTAAACCAGAAATTTCTTGAGTAATCTAAAACTTTAGTATTTGTGAACTATTGTTATTGGAAGAGAAGATTAATCAAGAGATTGATACATTGTAATTTTCATTTTAAACTCTTATAAAAATTCAGAATACTTGTTGTAATCCTTGTTGTTCAGGATTCTTGGTGTTTTTGTTAGTGTGTATATAGAAAGACTAGGATAGTCTTGTATAAGTTCTAACAATAGTAAAATCCCGTTCATGTTGAAAGGGGGTTGGAGTACTCTCGGACTGTGAGGGGAACCAGGATATTTCTCGGTGTTCTTTATCTTTCTGCACTTTATCACTTTCATCATTTAGAATCTAAATCGGAAAATAAGAAGACACGCGTTAAAAACCGAAAAAATTTAAAGTACTTAATTCACCCCTCCCCCCCCCCCCCTTTAGGTGCAAGCTCTACTTACATCCATCTCCTAACCTGAGGACTTCTACGTCCCCAACGAGGCCGAATACCCCCTCCACTTTGCAGCACACGACACTTAGGTGACCTTCCCCTCTGTGATGGTCATATTTGGCAGGGGATTCAGCAAACTCATCATGGGCTCAGTAAAAAATGAAGTTCGAGCAACTCATCAATGCAAGCTCGAGCCAAAACTCTACTCTCGACAAATATCGGGGAAGTTCAATTCTTATTGGGTTCTACCCGCAACGAGCTCCCCGGTGGATCCCCTAACTTCAACATCCTTTTGCTTGTGAGAGCATGAATGGAAAACTTTGACGTTCACCGCATATTGATCGACCAGGGAAGCTCGGTCGACATCATGTACTCTCAGTTATTCCTGATGTTGCAACTCGACGAAACACATTTGACACCCTACACGAGCTCTGATTTACAGGGCTTCAATGGCGCGACCATAAAACATGGGGTTATATCAAACTGATTGTCACTGTCGGAGCGACCGAGAGCAAAAAATCGATCGAAGTCCAATTCTTGGTAATAGGTTATCCTTATCTTTACTAGTGCATCATGGGAATATCAACTCTGGCTAAACTGATCGTCGTGTCATTCTCTGTTCATTTGAAGATAAAGTATTACACGGACAAGGGGCCTGTCACCACCCTCCACGAGGATATAGAAGCTGCGAGGAGATGCTTTGAAGCGGCCTCAAATGGGAAAAACTCCATCAATACACCGCCCATAACTGCCAGTAAGCCAGCGCGACCCAGTGCCTTGGAGGAGCCAAAACCAATGCCTAATGTTAACTCGGTCGACTTAGATAGTC